GCACAATATAATCTTGGTTATTGCTATAAAAATGGAATTGGAGTAGAGAAAGATGTTGAAAAGGCAGTTGAATTATACCAACAAGCAGCTGAACAAGGGCATGCTGATGCACAATTTAATCTTGGTATATGTTATCAGTATGGAACTGGGGTAAAGAAAGATGTTGAAAAGGCAGTTGTATTATATCAAAAAGCAACTGAACAAGGACATGTTAATGCACGGGACTATTTCTATAAAATAGGAATGGATATGGAGTATTATGGTTGACTCTTTTATAGCAAACCTGTTATGAATGGCAAAATGATCGTTATCCACTGTGTTAGTAGAATTCATGTAGATCATTTTGCAATTCTAGTATTACGCTAAGTCCGATTTATTATTTAAAATTTATTGGATATAAAATACTGCGGTAGTTAGAAATTAGTTATAAAAACGACCTTTCTTCACAGCTGAAAATATTAAACCGTTTGGGTCAAAATGTTCTGGGTCAGAGCCAAAAGGTTCAATTAAATGAGTTTCTAACTCTTGTTCTCAAATAAAAATCTAATTGCCGATAAACGAAATCCAACCGTCCCTAATTGTAAATAACATTATTACCCTGCATAACGTCCCTGAAAATCGACGATCGACATCGATATATGGATTTAATGCATAACGAAACATTGTTAGACTTTTGTCACAAAACTTTGTTAGCTTATTGCAAGGATCTATTATTGAAACTGATTCATTCGAATAAAAGGACAATAAATGCAATTTATAAGTTATTTAAAAAGCTCTCGTAATAGTACATAAGAATAAAACCGTTTTAAAGTTTATTCATTATCATCATTATTATTGATCGTTAAACGCTAGGAAGATTTATGTAAATTATGACGAAGCGATACGTTTGCTGAAGACAACTTATATTCAGTACAACGGGGCAAAACTATTTGCTGAGAAGACTAACGTTCAAACAAGAGTTAGGGATGTTGCGTTAATATTATTACTTGTATCAAAAACAAGGCGAGTCTTTCCGTCGGCTCGTAACGTAGTGGTTTTGCTATGTGTTTCTTTGTGGCGAACATTCAATAGCTTTCTTAACCAACATGAAGAAGGCTAATACCGATGATGTCAAGTGAAAGAGAGTTAATGTTTATTATTATCTCTAGTGTGTATAAAGAAAACATATTACGGTCCGAGGCCTATGGTTGGATACAACAAAACGATTTATCATTCTCTGGAGTTTATCTCACTTAACATATCGAAATCACCAACCTCTGAGTATGGATGATGTCTCGCCTGGATACGACTCACGTTGGGTGAATGGGAATAAACTCGCTTGTAAGAACGACAGCGATATTTTTACGACTTATTGCTAAGCTATAGTAAGCCAAAATGCAATAATGTACAATCTTTTATTACGGGTTAAAGTTTTATTGACAAAAATAATAATATCGCGTGCTGTGTGCTGCGTAGCAAAGAAGAGAAATCATTAATGTAATCTTAAAAGCCTTTTTACTCATCTCACGATTTCTTTCCTTACTGTAATGTCAGATATGATAAGTTGGACAAATCGTCTTTCTACCAAGTATTAAATATTAACAACTACGACGACCACTCGGTAGGTTCGAATGTATACAAATATTCACCAACATTATTTCGAAGTTATCCTTTTTTGGTAGTTAATTGTCGGTGAAATGATTGTCGATGAAATAATACGGTTATCGTGACGACTCGTATACGTAACGGCTAATACAATTATGTCTAGTATAATCGTTAATCACACAAGCCCATCATGAAGCGATGCTGAGAAGAACCCTCAGGAATAGCCCATCGCGTTCACACTTGGCTATACAGAACTCTGGAACCGAATTTTCTATAATATTAAATCTGCTTATAGTAAACTTTATTAATAAATCTGTCTATAGCGTCTGTGAACTCATTTTCTAAGCCCAAATCGAAATTTCATATTGATATTCTGCTTTCTATTGTGAACTGTCACACAAACAATGTCAACACGTGATTAACAAAATTTTTTTGAAATTATAGCATAATCGCTACTATGAAATGCAAATAAGCGTGCAACATGATGACTCAGAGAGATATAATGCGCAGCTAGTTCCTTATATAGTAACAACGGCATCATAATTTGACTAGATGTTCAAAAAACCATGTAGAAACGGAGTAGATAAACAAACTGAAAAAAAGATTATGAAAATCGATTAGAAACATGTGGAGATATGGATTTTTGAAGTTCATGTTCGAAATAAGCGAACGCGATTTTGATCATGTTTTCACAAGTTTTCATGTTTCGAAACAAAATATGGTCCGGTGCAAAAATATCCGTACCTTGATTTAAAAGATTTTTATTTGCGTAATACTAAAACCACATGCAATGACCCAAATAAGCCCATTTTAACATGGTACAAAGATTACATATAGACATATTTTTTTTGCAAAATTCGCCGATTCCTCATGTCTAGTTCTCGTGTAAACCGAATGCCCGCACCACTAACAGCGAACGAAAATTGAACGTCTACAGATAGGTAAGCAAAATAAAAACATAACATTACGCAAGCGAGTTGGTCTGGTTTTGGGGGTTGCGTAGAGTACGGTTGGGGGATGTGTGTCTGATTGGAACCAGCGCAACGATGGCACATTTACACCACATCAAAATCTTGGACGATTTAAGTCTCAACCAGGCGAAGACATCACATCACTTTTGCGAACTCACATTATGAACAGCAACAAGACAGGACAACAACTTTCTTACGACAATTTCTTTCCGAACATGGGTACGTACTTTCCAAGTGCCAACTTCTCCGAATACTACATGGTCATCAAGTTTTTTTTACGCCTCCTTACCATTGCGAGTTTCAGCCGATTGAGGGTAGTAAAAGGTGAGGTAGGCCCACATTTAAATCTCTTAGACGTTAGAAATAAGCTTTAAAAGCTTTTAAAGAAAAATCTTCACATCAAAGTAATTGTAGGATTATGGAAAAGAGCGCTCATAGGAGCGAAATAATATAAAAATCAGATGATAATGTAATTTTATTGGATGAGGAAACAGATGATGATGACAATCTTGACAATTTTAATAAAATTTTTATAGTATAATAAATCCGAATACCTATTGGTTTTTTAACTGTTTTTATTAAGATTATTGTGAGGTACGGATATTTTTGCACCGCACCGAACCATACCTAGTATTTTTTACAACACAATTTAACGAGTGCTACTAAGATCGACACTGTAAGACATTGTCATTCATCGGCAATTGTCCGAATTACATGGACTACAAAAAAGGAATCGTGTCAAACATTTCTTTGCGTGTATTACATTACGTTTAATTAAAAACCGCCCGGTAAGACGCAATTACGCTAAATGTTAAATTATGAAGGTAAAAGTTGTTAGTCGTAAAGTCGAATGTATTGGAAATTAATTTTACAAAATGAATAACTATGAATCAAATCTTGAAAGCTACTGTGTTTTTATAATATAGGCTACGCAGTAAGTATGGAAAAAACTTGAAGCATTTACAGTACCAATTATTTTTATTACGAGTATAAAGTAACAACGCAGCGTCTCTGCCGAACGCATGGTAGGATTGTTTCAAGCGGTGGAGTTTTCTACGACGTAGAAAAGCGATTATCAATCTGTAATATAAATGACACCAGCTAATTTTGCCAATTTGAAATTTAATATTTCAAGGCTTATTACAATACAGTAAAGTCAACGTGGCTTATGCAACTCTGGGTCTAGATTTCGAAGAACATTTGTGCTCGCTTGACTCTTGGTAGATTCTAACCCAATTGCAAATATTGGGAATTCTCGAGTGTGAAGTTACGAGAACGTCAGCGCAAAAAATGCATGCATCGCAAATAATAATAAGATCCCCGATCATACTAATAATGATACAGTACGTTGGCTAGTTATTTGTCCGAGACATTTACTGGGCAATCACTTCCGGAAGATTCACAAAAAAGGGGTAGTGAAGGCGTTCTTCTACAGAATGTTGTCATATACCATCGCATAAAGAAAACTAATCGTCAGCCTTCTCATTCATCACCAATAATTGTATGTCGTACGTGTGTAATTATATAGCGAACAAGAGGCTTTACAGTATAGACGGATGGCAAGATTACGTACATATCCATAAGATAAATGTGGGTTTATGATGACGTCTAATAGTAATACATAGTTTCGTCGGCTGGGTAGAAGCTAATAACTTTCTCTACTTGGCATATCTAATATTAACAATTACTCTTATGTTTGAACTGTATAATCTCGGCTGATTCTTCTAGAAGACAAGACCTTGAACAATCTAGTTATTTAGGATATGCAATACGTACAATTCTATACTCGGCGCATCTGTATTACGTTCTAAACTGTAAATTAATGGTTTAGTTTGCACAAATCGTTTGTTCAACATTATCGGACTAACTGCATTCGAGATACACACGATTTATACGATTTATATTTGGCATGTTGATGTCATCGGTACTGGGCTAATTTGGTTACGGCAATGTAGTACCCTTGGTACAGCCAATCACTGCCTGACCTGGTTGTAAAGCATTTATTTCGCTGGCTGTGTTGCTTTGTTTGAACACCACATTTATACTTTTTACTCTGTTAAATAGTACATAGACAAGTGCTATTTACATAACTGCACTCGTTGAAATACGCCCTTTTAACTAAATCCACTTACAATATTTCATTCCTTTTACGCATATAGATTCAGCATGCTGAATCTTATATGTCGGTTTCTTTTACTTATACTCGTTGTTATCGTTGGTACTGATGCTGTAGTGCGAACTATTAAAGTTGGCCCGGACTCTATACAAAAGGATTTTGATTTTGCTGTGGACGGGGATGTATTTAGCTTCGTATGGAGTGCTGATGTAAAAACTCCTGTGAGAGTGTATGAAGTTAACAATAACCAGTCTTGCGCGATAATGTCCAAAGGAAGTGAGTATGCCCAAAGAATCTTTAGAGAGTTGAGCCGAAATGATTTAAAAGCTCTTTGTCTGAAATTGCTAATAGTGGTTAATAATCGTCTTGATAGTAATGTGAATAATTCTTACTAACAATAAGTTTTTCAATAGTCGATAGCAAGTTTCATGTATATCCGAATACATATCAATATACTACCGACCCCGAACCAATTCGACTTACTGTGTATCCGTCACCTCCAATAATAGTAAGTATCGGTTTTAAAATCCATTGCAAGGATCATTGATTTCTCGTCGGCTCGTCCGTAGACCGATATGGTCTCGTCGTAATGCATCTTGTTAACTTGTCTATAATTGTTCTAGTATGATTTCTATCTTACAACTCAAGATGCACAAATATGCGATCAAGGGCCCGATTCACGTTTAGAAATCGAAGTGTATAAGCCAGAAGAGGCACCAACAAACACTGACATACCGTCGTCCCAACCAACTGATCCGTCCTCGGACATTATCTCAACTTCGGCTGCGAGCAACTCTCCAACGTCTGCAAGTAACACTGCCACAACATCCAATGCGACACCTCAACCAGCTTCAGCAGGCAGTACTAGCAACGAAGCTAGCTCTCACCCCATATCCATCCTGTTGATGTCGATCGTTACAGTAATTGGAGTATATTTGTCATTCATATGAATCTATTTTATTACTGTATTATGAAAGCTTAATCCTAATAATCCTAGTTAATATATCTATATACACAGATAAATATCTTTTACGGCAATCATGCTTATTTGTATCATACTGGTGATTAATAAACTAGTGCTGATCACCCGATCAAGCCATCGTCTATATAGAACAAGAATTATAGAACGTCATTTATTATATGTCGTTACAAGACTTTCAATATATTCTGGCAAAGGTGTCTCCGCGCTCAACATTAATAAGAACAAGTGATTTGAGGACTGATACGATTTCAAGCATCGATTGCAGATTATAGACGAGCATCGTACATATTAATATGGTGGAAAGATCAAGAGTATAGATACAAAATAAACCATGTTCTATAATTAGTATCTGCCAGTACTCCATCTTTATCATTTTACGAAACTTATTATTAAAAATTATCATTTGCCTAGTTGAGCCACGAAACAAAGAAAGCTACACAAAACAAATACACGTATTCAAATAGCTTGATCCAAAATAAGAATAGAAGGAAAAACGCATATTTATTGATTGAATGACCAATCGTAAAGAAATAAGCCCTTAAATTTGCTAAAAACGAGGTAGTAGAGTATTGCCAACTACTATCGCGAGGGACTTTATTCATGGCGCTAAGGCCAAGTTTAAGCTGTTGAGAATGGATCCCAATCAAATAAGTCGGTCGACTTATTGAGTGTATCTGTAATATTAATTAATATTATAATGTTAGCTCGTCAGCTGATTTTTTATTGGAATTTTAGCATAAGCTTCAAATATCCTAACCCAACCAGAACTGCTGCGCGTTCTGTTTAACACAAATGAAAGTAATAAGCAAGACGAAGAGCAAAGCTTTTCTTGCGACAACAATAATTATATTAAAGCCTAATATAAGACAGTGGCCTATAACAAGTTGCCCTATGAGTTAAAAGACCATTTGCAGCAAGTGATAATACAGTTAACTAATTTGTTTTCAAAATGTTGAATTAGCAAAAAATTAATTCTAACCAAATACGTTGCTTATAACAGAGGAAGTTACGCTAACTGAATCTAACTAATTAGCCGCGACAGTAAGGAAATTCAGAATAAATTATTTTAAAAAGTTATACACAGAATCTGTATTGATGATTAAATCCACACGTATATATGGATTATCAACTAAGTTACGCGCAGAACAAACAGAAATAAAACCAGCCTTTTGTTAAAAATTAAGCTGACAATCGGACGATTGACAAATTAAATCTGTTATATCCGTACTAGTACAGTCAAGTCTCCCTTAAGTGTACAGTGTATGGTGTTTTATTGCCTAATCTCGGGCATTAATGCTCTTTATATTCTGCTCGTTTAATACCTCTGCAAACACGCTTGAACTGTCCGTCAGACTATGGCATAGTTTATGATCTGCATTATGCCATGCCAATTACATCAAGATGTTGAGCAAATTATTTTCTAATGGCATTTGTACTAAAATAGGCCATTACTAACATTTGGTTATAAATTAAATTACAATGTATTAAACTTATTAACGAAATAAAATTTACCCATTGTATGTTGTAAACGGGAGGCAATCATTTCGTCGACAATCATTTCACCGACAAATCTTTACCAACATTATTTCAAAGTTATCCTTTTTTGGTAGTTAATTGTCGGTGAAATGTACTGTCGGTGAAATGATTGTCGATGAAATAATACGGACCCGTTGTAAACTATTTTGCTTATTATGTGATTGTTGAATAATATTGAGAATAATTCTCGCAGACATTGTAATAAATTAAACCTAATTGTTAGTGGCGATTATGATACTGTAAGTCTAAACTGAACGTGTTCTATACTTTATTATTATTATGCCTCCATTAACAAGTTTGGAGTAGCACGTCACTATTTAATAATATTACTTGACCCATAATACAAATTTCTCAATGCAGGCTTTCAAAAAAATTTTCGGTACAAGGTCGCACTTAAGGAAGCTGACTGCATTTCTTAAAATAGTGCAATGTTATAACTAACCTTTATTTATCAATCAAATTTTGTTGCTAAATAATAATAACAACTAGTGCTGAGAAAACCGTTTAACACTTTTAAAATTTGTTTCATAGTAAAAAGTCTTTAACTTCTAAAATAAATTTGATCAATTATGTATTAACTTGTTTCAAATAAACAAAGAGTACAATTTTATCAATTGGTATTAAAACATTTGGTATATAATTAGTTTACAATGTAATACTATTTTATATCACAACTCACAATAACTAGCTTTTATAACATTTACTACCGGTTGCGCATGCTCAAGTATAATGTTGTAAGTTTGTCGAATACACTAAACAGTTATGTTTCTAGCTCATGCACTGCATACAGAATGAAACACTGCTTAGGCTCCCCATTTGATATTATATGCAAAAAATCAGAGATCTTCCATTCCACATTGTTTATAGTTTGCGGGTGATAGTCAGAACATTAAATGACATCGCTATATAAATTTAGTATTTGATCAGACATCGTCAATTTACTAGTTAAACCGAAAAGCAAAAATATCTTTTGATCACAATGTCATCGTGCAACCGGTTCAGTTTAAAATAGTTTAAGAAACTCTTTTATAATATTTTAGTCAAGCCAATAACTCGTTTCTACACGTCGATCAGATTAAAATTCCGATATGAACCCCCCCCACTACCAATCGTGTAACTCTCAAAGTCTGGGGGATCTGATAAGATTACAAGGTCATCTGCATACTGCAATGCTGATCGCGCGTGAAATCTACATATCATGTGGTGTGACATTGCCGCTTTTGACAAAATCCAGGCGGAATACATGAGGTAAGGAATTACTGTACACAGACAGGTGCGTTTGTCGAGAATTTTTATAGATAACAAAAAAGCCGCCCTTTTTCAACTTCAATCTGACATGACAGATGCGCGTTATTTTCCGTCGGGCGGGGCCGAATGTTTCTTTATCCAAGAATATGCTAGAAACCACATGGTTAGATTGAGGTGGATAAGGTTATTATAATGATCAGATTTATTCTTCCGAGTCAATCTTTACCACGAATGTTTGCTATCGTAAAAAAAGAAAAGGCGCAAGATAAAGAATCTTCTTTGCAGGTTTATCGAGCCGGCGCTTGCAGAGTTCGTATAATCATGTGCCGAAGCTTCTCGGAACGTATATGTTGATCTGATAAGATTCATGTGAATAACATCCAAGACGATCTAATGCGTCCATATTCCTTCCCTCCAAGTTATTCTTCTTATTGGCGCAAGTCAGCCCACCAACTTGCTATTTAATCTCCCCTCTACTGGTGAGGTCTACGTCCTGAACAATCGTAGGTCTTATCCTAGTATCTCTTCTCACACACTAGTCTGGAACTAGTCTGTATAGAGTCTAACGACAAATTTTTCTTTCTTTGAAACCCATTCTTGTTTCTGACGTAATAAAACCCCCACTACTCGCTCTACGTGACCAATCTAGACAATATATTACTACTTTCCCAATACTATTTTTTTTCTTTTCATTGGTGCTTTATCCCAACATTCAATATCTCACTTAAATTAACTACTGAGAAAAGAAATGCCTCCATCGAAAGTCCAATCAGAAAAACAAACATTCTTAAAGGAATATGGCGATAGATATGGTTACAATGGAAGAATTGACCAGATTAGAGAAGAGGAGTATCCGCAATTAAAAAGTAGGATTTAATTTAAGGCTTTTCTTTGTAATACATTAATTTAAGCAAGCAACATTTAATTCTGATATTATACTCTGTCCCCATAAAAAGATGGTTTCTATCTAGATCATGCAGGAACGACAACATATCCTCAAAGCACTCTTGTAAACCTTAAAGCTGATCTCACCGATAACCTCTATGGCAACCCACACAGCAAGTCGCCAAGCTCCATGCTGGCAACAAAAAAGGTCGAAGCAGTTCGCAATCAAATTCTCAACTACTTTGATTGCACTCCCGGAGATTATCAAGTAGTGTTCACTCAAAATGCGACTGCTGCAATAAAACTGGTGGGAGAAATCTTTCCATGGCAGAGCGAAAGAAGCTGGTTTAAATATTTGAGAGAAAATCATACGAGCATTATTGGTTTGAGAGCACTTGCTAAGGAAGGTGGAGCTGATATCAGCGTGCTTTCCGAAGCAGAAGTCGAGTCCTTTATTGGGACTCATCGTCAGCTTAAAGAGCAAGATGATGGCGAGGTTATCTATAATCTTTTTGCGTATCCTGGTCAATGTAACTTTTCAGGAATGAAGTTCCCGATAAACTGGGCACAACGCATAAAAGAAAATCATAGTACAGAGACGTCAAAAGTATTGGTTTTGTTAGACGCTGCATCATATGTCACTTCATCGCAGCTGTCTTTAAGAGATACCAAATCGTCACCTGATTTCGTAAATTTAAGCTTTTACAAATTGTTTGGATATCCAACTGGGCTTGGTGCTTTACTGGTAAAGACTGAACTTACGCCGATTTTGAAAAAGCGGTATTTCGGAGGTGGGACAAGTAAGTATAATTTTGTTAAGTACGAGAATTTCATCATGCACACTCCACACCCACACCCACACACACACACGTCGGATAACTAACGTCTCTCCATATCGACATCTTGTATAGTTTCGGGACTTCTCTACGATGCAGATTATGCTCAATTTTGGCCATCTCTCTCAGAAACTTATGAAGATGGAACCATAAACTTTTTAAATATTATCGCACTTTCTCATGCGTTTGCTGCATTCCACAAACTTTATAATTCGATCAATTACGTCAACATGCACACATCCACGCTTATATCCTATCTTTATTCGCAGCTGTCTGTGATGAAGCATTATAACGGAGCGCCCATTTGCGAAATATTTAGTTCTAGAGATTTTCACAATCCGAAAATGCAAGGACCAATCTTGAATTTTAACTTTAAGAAGCCTGATGGGTCATGGGTAGGATACGCAGAAGTAGAAAAGTTAGCATGCGGCGATAATATACACTTGAGAGTGGGAGGTTTTTGCAATCCTGGTAGCGTTACCAAGTGGTTTAATATTACTCAGGACGAGATGATGATGGCTTTCAAGGTAAAAACTCGTTCTGGTGAAATTTATTCGATGGGGATGATATTCAATTCTGTGTTTTGCGTCAATTAATTTAAATAATTTTCATTTTTGCGGTTTTAATTTTATTTCTAGTCAGGGAAAGTGTGTGGGGATGATCGAGATATTATCAACAAGAAACCTACTGGATCAATCCGTGTCTCCTTAGGAGCAATGACAACGATTGATGATGTGTTAGCTTTCATTAATTTTGCAAAGGAACATTTTATTGAAGTAAATCCACCTGTCAATATCGAGAAGCGCAAGTCAGGGTCGTTTGTTCGTCAATCGTGGAAAGGATTTACGGCTAATCCCCAGTTCCAAATTGTTCAACAAATGTCAATGTATGGTCAAGATTGGGTATTGATTGACGCATCGTCAGGAACTACCTTGAATCAAAGGCGGTAAGTTATTTTTTAATCATGTTATTGTTATTGTTATTGTTATCATTTTGTATGTTCGCTGACATCAAAACCAAATCAATAATCTCTCTGTCGCTTTCAAATCACACCTATTAGCAAAAGTGCATTCTTGCTGATTCCCCATAAAAACTTTGAAAGCTTAAAAGGACAGATTGAGTCTTCAGACAAAAGTCAAGAAATGGCGAAATTTTCGTCTTCGTCAGAATTTTCGAAACTTTCGTCTTCGTCAGAATCATCCAATCATGGGGCTCTCGAACAATATGCCAAAGGAGTAACTTCTAGTAGAAAATTAAAGACTCCGGTGGTGACAAGTAAAGTTTTCTTCGAGGACGCCACCCCCGAACATAATACATCATTTGTCGATAGCCTGGTCATGTTCTTTAGTTATATTTTCCTCTACATACAGAAATTTGTTACTATGGCAGCACCGAAAGCTTACCAGACTCTTAAGGATAATAGTTTTCTAGTAGGGCTTTCTTTCTCACTAGTCTTTTTTTATTTCGTCATTTAATTTAATAAACTTTTGTGATTTTGTTAAACTGAGCAACTTTGGTTTTAACAGAAAAAATAAAGTAAATGGTATTGATCACTAACTTAATCTCTTATGTTACAATTACTGACGTTTTTACGTGCGTATACGTAAATTACTCTGTACTACCGAATAAAACAAGACCAAAAGTCAACTGTATGCGAGCATCCTTAGAACTGTGAGAAGGAGGACTTTAATAAATTTGAAAATTTTCATTAAAATGCAAGCATCGAATATTGTTTGTCAACGTATAAATTCACTGTCTTTAAAGCTCAGAGAGAAGAACGTTAACATATGAAAGTATTTGATGCTTAAATTGTACCTTGGCTTAATTCTACTAATTATCGTCGATTAGGAGGATGAGAATTTAGGTCCTCAACAATAATTTGGAAAGCCTCAACGACAGACACCGCCTATCAAAGCTGATCTCAAGGGTCAGCTAATTAGTTGCTCTCAACTGTTATTATGGCAATGATTACGGGTAGTTTTATACGAAGACTTACTCTAACTCCAAACTACCAAATGCTGTTGAAAAGTTTCTTTGTTCTCGATAGAAAGTTTTATGACAGTTGTAAACATCATTAAACTTGAACGTGTCATTATTTTGTTATTTAGATAAGGAACAACCTCTTAATCGAACGTACAAATCATACCCAAATACCATCACTATGACGCCATGACAGAATACATAGAAATACAGTAAATAGCAAGTTTATTTATTTTCTAGAATACTTACACTATATTACGATTGTAATCATGTAGTTATTTATTTGTCGTTTTAGCTACAATACGGATGGCCCGCATTATGTTGTAAGTTAAGATATTCAAAATCCAGTAATTGGCAACTATGCCCTTAAATAGTTCCTTACTCCCGAGTTAATTCAGGCTATGAACAACTTTTTAGCGTAGAAGTTTATGCTTATTATTTTTCCAGAGATTAAAATCGTAGAAATAATCCCGATCATTTTAACCGTGTTTTATAAAATAGACTGTATTCACTCCTTTGAGTAGACAGTGAGTTATAGCTTTTGACTGTGGTCAGGCTTAATATCAAGTTTAATTAGACCTGATTTGTCACTGGTTTACATTAATATTAATATTAATACCTAGTTTAAGCAACTGAATATGTATTAGTATTGCGTACATTTATTTACACAGTATAAATGTAAACATTACTTAAAATTGTTGCATAGTACGTTACATTTTATATGTGACCATGACTTTTTAACACCTTACATAAAGACACATAATACAGCTAATTGTACATATGACCGTATGTGTTGTTCTGGTTGCCGGGAATGCAGAGTAACTTTGGACTAAAGTTGCCATAAAAGTTATGATGTAAATATATATTACCAACAAAAAAAATCCATTCTTCTCTCCCTCGAAATTAAAATTTGACCTGTTGAAAAAAGACAAGTCTTTTCAGGTCTTTGCTCCGCATAGAGAATCTTTAAGAAGGGCGTGCCGTTTATCGGTCATTTTGTTTAAATTACCACCTGGTGAACTATGAATTAAAAATAAACCTACCAAATAAACGATTTCCTAATTCACATGAATGCGTATTAACTGTTATAACATGTGAACGGATAGAAACCAAATTCACTCTCGTTCAATCGTCTAGCTTACCAATCGGAACCGAACTTTTGCAAGCGTATTTATTTGCTGACATTACTAAACTAATAAGTCTATATCATGTACACTACCATTTCAATCGTAGACGTCGCTCGAGAATCGCCACGCCCGAAGATAAAAAGTATGGTAAAAAAAGACCTCGCAAAAATGTGTGATTCTACTAAATCGAAAATTCACATGATATCATCATATGATAACATGACATCTACAAAGTCTTGCGGGCGGTCATATTCCGCATTTGGTTGCACATACTATATTTGGGTTCGCCGATTTTCGGATCTGCGCGATTTGACATTAGTTTGGGCGATCTTTCATAAATTAAGATTGCCAAATTTTCTATCGATTAATTAACGAAACATATGAAAATGCTACTTTTTTTGAGCATCCATTAAACTTCCATGGTTCAAAGAATGGCTTGTAGGGCCATAATACTTCATTAAAAGTTAAACAGTGATACGAGAAGGCAAAGTACGACTAAATGGATATGTATTTAATTACTAAGCGATCGACAAAAAACTGTCGGTTTGGTGACTGCATGCTCTGAAAACCAAATATAAATGCGTGGAGATATGCAACAGATGCAAAACATTGATAAACTCACCAGCTCCAAACAATAGATTAATCAGTGATACAACAATTAAGGCTTGATCATAGCAGATAAGAGAGAGCATTTTAATAGAGACACTTTATTTCTAAACACAGAAAGCAACTGATTGAAGATGTCAATATTGAAGAAAAGACCAAAAACGGACGAGGAGTTAGAACTTGAAAAAACCACATATAACAATGAATTTACTAAACAAATTCAAATCGAAATTATAGACACGAATGGTAAATAAATGAAGTTTGCCCGGACTTGTATTGAACATTTGATTTATTAGATGAATTTTCATCCCAGATACCCTAGAAAATGTTCATATTGATGAAGATTCCGTATCGGTCGCTTGGTCCGGGCTCACGTACACAATTACGAATAAAAAGACTAAGCAAAAGGAAAATATTATCCAAAATTGTAGTGGTGTTGTTAAGCCTGGAGAGATTATGGCGAGTAAGTGATGAACCAAAAAGACTATTATTATTCACAAATCATGCGGTTTATGTACTCACAGCAATTCATATGTAATTAGTCATGGGTCCCTCGGGAGCAGGCAAAAGTACTCTATTGGATGTTCTGGCCGGGAGAAAGGATCCTAAAAATGTTACCGGAACGATTTATTTGAACGGGAAAAGTGGCCAGAATGTAAAATTCGTATCGACTTATGTAATGCAGGATGATGCTTTAATGGGTAAGTTTAATCACATGACTTTAATGCCGAGAGGTAACTTTGTAAACAATTCACTGAAACTTTTTTATCCCTTTCCCCTTTCCCTCACAAATATCCATGATCGTTAACAGGTTCATTAACAGTCCGTGAGAATATTCAATTTGCCGCAGACCTCTGCTTCCCAGAGACAGTCTCACTTGCTGAACGTCACCAAAAGGTCACAGAAATTATCAAAGAATTCGGTCTAGAACGTGTAGCTGATCACAAAGTAGGCAATATTATCATCCGGGGTATCTCCGGTGGTGAAAAACGCCGCACTGTAATCGCCTCGCAAGTTGTCACCCATCCCAAAATAATTTTCCTCGACGAGCCCACGACTGGCCTAGACTCGGCTGCTGCATACAATGTCATGAAGGCCATCATAACCACGGCTAAAACGCATCACTTGACTGTAATCGCTAGCATTCATCAACCGAGTTCAGAAGTGTTTGCTTTATTCGATAAATTGTATTTGATATCACGTGGACAAACTGTATACCATGGACCTCGTAAGGCGGCGTTGGAATATTTCAAAAACCTCGGACATGAGTGTCCCGAACATGCAAATCCTGCCGATTTCTATTTATCGCGGATCAATATCGACTTTATGTCTGACAGAGCGACCGGAGAACAGCACATTGAGAAATTCATCACGAGTTATGAATCATCTTCTGCTAAACGTCTAGCAAAGACAGAAGTCGACGCCGTACTGGCCGCAGCCGAGAAAGACGCAACAAACGATCTATCAGTTGATGTGCCACAAGGATACAACCGATATGCCAGAGGATTCTTTGTCCAGACTTACTTTATTACAAAACGCACGTTTACCAATGCTTACAGAAACATCCTTTTATACTGGATTCGCGTAGCAATGTATGTCTGTTTGGCACTGTTGATGGGCACGGTATGGTGGAATGTGGGATTCGAGCAGAAGAATGTACAAGATAGATTCGCGGCCCATTTCTTTTCGGTTGCATTTCTTGTATTCATGAGTGTCGCCGGTATTCCTGGATTTCTCGAAGAGCGAGTAGTATTTCGCCGTGAGAGAGCCGATGGATTCTATTCGGTCGGTCCATACGCATTGGCCAATTTCGTTGTGTCAGTTCCGTTTGTGTTTATCATCGCCTTTACATTCACTGCAGTTGCGTATCCAATGATTGGACTGCATGCGGGATTCGGGCATTTTATGTGGTTCCTTACATATCTATACCTTGCGTTGATGGTTGCCGAGTCGATGGTTGTTTTCGTGGCTGCAGTCATCCCGATATTCGTAGCAGCATTGACCATTGTTGCTTTCCTAAATGGATTCTTTATGGTCGTGCAGGGATTTTTCGTCAGAAGAGATTCTATCCCTCATGCATGGAAATGGGCTCATTACATCGATTATCAAAAGTACGCCTTTGAAGGTATAGTCAAAAGTGATTTTCTTGGATTGACGTTCGATTGCGTCAAGAATGCGGCCACCGAGAAGTGTAACTGTATGTATGGAGATACCAGTGGGAATTCATGTGACTTCACCGGTCAGGATGTGTTGAATAGCTTTGGATATACAGAGATAAAATTACCGGCATGGGCGGTAAGTATATTGTGCGAATATGGATGAGGCGACTAAGTACACACTAAACTGATTAAGCCTACGACATGTACTTGATGTTTCTTCCATGACATGATTGCTGACAATCTTCTTTTTTTCTCATCTTGTAGATGGCTTTGGTTGGATTGACTATAATATTCCGTGTTGGATTCTACGTCGCCCTGCGTCTACGGAAGAGCAGAACTTAGAATCGACCTTAGTTATCGAGTTATTTATTATATTTATTTTAATAGTAATCAGTACAGATAATTATGTTAATTAATAAAAGATGAAAAATATTATGTAATATAGGGCATGCTGCAACTGGCGACCGTGTGTCCCACTGCTCCGTTTACGTAACGAAAGAGTGTCAAGTCATTATGATTCGTAAACAAACTTACATGTCGCGTCCACTCTGCCTCACCGAAACGCCTAACTTTAAAACTGCAATCTTGCAAGGAAACAGGTGGCGTTTTTTTCTGAAGAACTACCTTAATAAATACCCTTACCTATGCGCGTCAGTGAGTGGGAAACAAAATGAGTAGTAAATACCTTATTTGTTATGCGATCAAACAACATTCATTTTGCAGCATTTTTCTCAGTTAAATTCGCTCAAAGGAAGCAGCAAGCTGATGTATGTTTATACTCTATGCATTATGATCCGGACGCAGGCACACACATAACTTTTACCTGCTTTGACTGCTTGCTTCTCTACATGTGTGCAATGAATTAACCTTAACAAATTTTTTGAAATAAAAAATAATTCAAGTTACTAAAATATGTAAAATGCATGCTAATGTAATTTTTTTATAGAAGTTGCCATCAGTGCAACTTTTTCAAGTTTACAGTATAAATCAATTGCAGATTTGAGTATGTTAGAGCTTCGGAATTTTAACAACCATATAGTGTGTTCTCTATTAAACAAGACAATCCACATGTGTGAAAATAGACTTGGCTTCAAGATATTACACGATTTATGTCTTCATTGGCCTGCACAGAGCCCAGCATTAATTAGACGTTCACATTGTGTTGTCATAGTAACTCTTTCATTTTATCCAACATTGCCTGTATTAACCGTAATATATTATATTAACTGCATGCTTACACAAGATCTAGCCATATCTAACATCCGATCGACATGCATGTGCCATACTTGTACTTGATCAATATTTTCCGCGAAAAACGATCCTCGCATCAATGGAACCCGCCAGTTACGAACAGCAATGGCTCCCTGAAGAGAGAAGAGCGCCCGCTAGCTCGGTAAGACCTCGTGGCAGTAGCATCGATGCACATGGTCCGACTAAAGGATCTCCGAACATAGAAAGTGGTTCAACGTCTACGCCAAGAAAAAGCATGAAAGAAATGACTAAAGCAGAAAGAAGAGCACTTCAAGAGAAACAAAGAGCGGAAAAGGCGGCTAAAGCTGCTGCTTCAGCGACTACATCAGCAAACAAAAAAGGTGGATCATCCGATGCAACGGGACAGGATTCCTCCCCATTGACAAAGGCAAAGCCCAGAGACAAAGAGAATAAAGGAAAATCATCAATCGCCAAACTTGATAATAATGATTTCGGTTCCTCAAGTGGTTCTAAGCAAGTAGCCCTTCTTGCTCATCTTGCTCATCCCACTCGACCATCGACTTCACCTCCCACAATCGCCGATATACATCCAGCCGTTCTGACACTTGGTTTGCTCTTTTCAGAACACAAGATCACTGGATCCAATGCAAGATGTGTAGCTACTTTGAGTGCATTCAAGAAAGTAATACAAGAATATCGCACACCAGAGGGTACTACATTGAGTAGGCATTTGCAGACTGTGTTGAATTCGCAGATTCAATATCTTGTTGATTGCCGGAATATGAGTGTCAGTATGGGGACTGCTATTAGATATTTGAAAATGGAGATTAGTACAGTTGACATAGATCTCAGTGATGAAGAGGTAAGCCGATAAATAGTTGACAATTATTACTAATTGATTACACGTATGTCGTTTTAAGCTTTAATTCGTCTTCGATGTCTAGGCAAAAATGCTGCTCTGTCAGAAGATTGATAACTTTATACGAGAACGTATAACAATTGCAGATAAGGCCATAATAGCCTACGGGTTGCAGAAAATACATAACGGAGATATTATATTAACATACGCAAAGTAACTGATGCTTATTGTATACTGGTTGGTTCAAATTGTAAATTGTGGGCAATTTGTCACTAGAAATATTATTTGTCCTTGTTTAGGTCATCCGTAGTAGAGGCTCTGATATTGGAGGCACATAAAATGGGAATTCAATTCAGTGTTGTTATTCTGGACTCGAGGCCAAAATTTGAAGGTATGGAAAGTGACAATCTGTCAGCGGGCTTTGTATAATCGTCTACCCCTAACTCACATATCCGTCTCACCATAATTATTAGGCAAAAATCTTTTAAAAAATCTTGTTACAGCCGGAATAAAATGCACATACTGTTTGCTTCATTCCTGCGGTTTTGCATTCAGACATGTTTCCAAAGTCTTCCTTGGTTGCCACGCAGTATTATCCAATGGTGCTCTTTACTCGAGAGTAGGGACTGCCATGGTTGCAATGATGGCTAAAGATCTCAATATACCTGTAATTGTATGTTGTGAGACGTATAAATTTACTGACAGAGTACAGCTGGATTCTTTTGTATGGAACGAGGAAGGTAAACTATCTTATGTCAACTAATTATCGATTGGATTTTCTCTAGCCTTTATATGAAGCATCAACTTCCATTTTCTAGGTGATCCATCAGAACTGGTGAATATATCAGCCAATCCAATACCTAAACCCGGCCCACTCTCTTCCTGGCTTGGACAACCCGATCTTAAGCTATTGAACATTCTTTATGATGTAACACCTTCAAAGTATATTACAATGGTTATTACAGAAGTTGGTATGATTCCATGTACAAGTGTACCAGTCGTATTACGCGAATACAAGTAAGTATAATACGTTTTATTTAAAACGAAATATTGACAATAACTAATAAATCTCTGATGAATATCTAGGGCTATGATTCAATTATAGCATAATATTTGAGGAAATGCCTCGTTATACCACTTTATTACCAGCCACATAGACTGATTTCATATTCTCAACTCCACCTAAATTAATAAATTTTTCAAAAAGACTTTCTGCTGTGTCATCACTCCAAACTTCCATCCCACCGATGCCGTTTCCATTATCATCTGCACAGTGTACTACTATTGCGTCAAATGCTTTACCCACTTCAATAGCACCCACAACATGGTCAATATTAAGGACTTGGGCACCACCCATCGTAGCGAGATAAAAGGCATCCTTATAGCTGATTTCATCAGTTTCATCACTCTCCTTGTTGGCTGTTCCAATGGTTCGCTTCCGCTGTGACACAAGTATCTTTGAAGATATGACTGCGTGTCTCATGTTCTCCAGTATCGAAACGGAATACCCACCCGCAATATCACTACCTAACCCAACCTTAATGCCGCTACGAAGTAAATGTCGAGTGCGAAGAATTCCGTCAGCAAAAAAGTAGTTGGAAAGTGGACAATGTGCAATACCTGTACCATGGTCACGCAAGATTTTGATGTCACCATCTGATAAGTGTATTGAGTGTGCCATTATTGTCTTGCAAGTCAAGAGTCCATTCTATATAAAACGCGATTGTTAAACACTACCTTACGGCTTTGCCATGCGTGGAAGCAACAAATCCCGTACCTCGGCGAATATCTCTGGATCAGCTTTACCATACAGCTGATGCACGTACTCTATCTCATCCAATGCCTCTGACATGTGACTTTGAATAGGGACATCATATTTCTTAGCAATGGCGGCTAAGCTCTTTAACAGTTGAGGAGAACAGGTAGGTAAAAAGCGTGGTGTAATGACTGGTGTAACTAGAGCCGCGCGAGCATCACCAGATGTCTCAAGAACTGCCTTCACGAATTCATCTGCAGCGCTAATAGCTTCGTTGGTGTCCTCGACATAATACTTGGGTGAATTCTGATCCATACTAACTTTACCAACAAACGCTCTCATGCCGGCTTCCCGTATAAGACTTACAAAATTTAGAGTAGGGTAGAGGTGGATAGTGGCAAAAAAGCATGCGGTAGTGGTTCCATTGCTCAAACAGCGCTTAATAAGACGACTGTATGTCTTGGTAGCAAAATCTGCGTCGTCTAAAAATCGACGTTCTGTAGGAAATGCGTACTTGTTGAGCCAATTCATTAATGGTACGTCCGTACCAGTACCAGCATATCTGTATTGCGGAGAATGTATATGGCAGTCAATAAATCCTGGGATAATAAATGCGTATTTTGGTAGCCGAACGATTGACTCGGGTGTAAAGCATGTGACAGTTCGTTCGTAGTCTGGTGAATCGAGAGCTGTTATTGAAGTGATGTTACCGGATTCATTGACAGCTGTCGAAAATAGCACGATAAATATATAAGATCAAGACAGACGACAAATGTAACTAGAAGTTAACTTGATACAACCCACTGCAACGTTCTCAAGGATTTCTATCTCGCCCAATGCACGTGAGTTAACAACTGTTCCGATGAATAGCTTAGCTGTCATATTGAAAATACAGTATCGTAGATGTTACACTGTTACACTAGACGTTTAAATTATATGCAGACAAAGTGAACATTCTATTATGTGACATAAACAAGAGGCTGAAAGTTAACTAATTCGATAATGACATTTTCGATTACAAATTTATGTAAATTACAGTTTTAAATTAATATCATGCCAAAATATAGCTTTATTGAATAAACTTCTACCTGAATTACATGCCTAATATAGGATTATGTCTATATAAAAATACACCACGACGTTCACGCGCGGAATATTAGAGGAACGTCGCGCGGAGCGTCCTCATAGCCGTGGAAGATGGAACCTCATTCTGCTCTACAACGAATGAAGAGGAATCAACAGACCTTGCCAGCTTTCTGGCCATCGGTATTTCTTTGCGGTCCTCGAGGCATTTCTTGAGGAAATACGACTCTTTTGTGAAGGAAAAGGTAAAGTTCCTTTCATTATGGCGGTGTTGATAGAAAGCGGGGAAGCTCCATTCTTATCAAAGTAGTGTATTTGGCCATTATCTCAGAAAAGAAATTTAGTAACGCGAGTTGGAGTGTGAGCGATTAAAATCTAGATCCAATCATTTTCATATATGAGAAATTCTAATTATAATGGTTCTACCGAATATGAAAAAGTAATGCGCTTCTTAAAACTGGTTGTTCAAAAAAGATCCCGGGAGAAAAATTTTCCGAGTTACATGAACTCTCTCTGGATCCGAACAAGACATACTTTTAATAGTCCAGTTGAAAGCAATGAATGGTGGAAAAATAACTACCAGCTGATGTCTTAAAAAAACAACACGTACTAATAAAAGAACTTTTATGATTGAGATTGCAATACGTCTCTTTGCCAGGAAACATGTTAGGAATTGGCCGCACTCATTTGAAAATGTCAGAAATCACCTAGCGACGAATGGTATAAACCGCGCGGTCATGGTAACATAGAACAAATGCCACGATGGAAGATCAAGATAAAAATGTTGCTACAGCCGTGAAGGATCGTCAACCGAATTACTCAAAATCGCTTACACTTTTGCCAGCAGAAACGAGTTACAAATCCGTCTATCGTGATTTTATTGCAGGTCTCGAAAACAATAGCACGTTGAAATTATTAAAATATGATATTCCGCAAGTTATGACTTATTTGGGCACTTGATCTCATGTTTGGCATAACGAAGCATTAGCAGACGCGATAATTATATGAAAAGCGTAAAAATCCGCTTCGTCGAAGAGTTGAATAACGTGTGTTTAATATCAATTGTACATTATTGATTATCAAATATTAAATATTGAATAAACAGAATACTGCGATCCGTAATAAAATACATAAGTTCTCGTATATAAATTATTAAACATATTGAAATACTGATTCAAAGAGCGGCTGAAGAAATACTCACAAATAAACGAAAGATTAGTCGCCCTTTACACGTATTTCTCTCCTTGTTCGTAAACTATTAGTGACCGTTTACAATATTAAAGATTAATTGCTCTGACAGGAGATGACTCAGAACTAGCGCTCTAACGGTATGGTGTCCTATTTACTAGGACAACGTAGGTCAGAAGCTCAGCGTATTGAAAATAATATTTCAGCGGCGATATGGATAGGGAATATGTAGCCGCCTTCGACTTAATTGAAGACACGTTGCATGGCCGTGTTTAGAGTATTCCCCCCGGTCAAATTGAATACATGCTATTAAACGTAAGCTTTGAAAGAATTCTCCGTTAAATGATTTACGATAAAATATTACGTTGATTTGAACGTTCAACCAGTTCTGGACGATATCATCCATTCTCCGTTTCGGAAACGGTAGTTAGACATATAAAATAATAAGCAGTTGTAGTTTTCCGCTCTGAACATTGTCAGTGTCTAGTATCTTCAGCATATTTGATTCTATTTTTCTTAATTAAAATAGCTCTTTGAATTCCAATAAATCTGTAATTAATATAGTTGATATTTTCGTTCATTCCCTGGTGAGTTTATCGAATCGCTGGTTAAGTGATAAAATCGCTTTCTCGATCAGCGGTTAATAAGTTTGATCTTGCCCATCGGACTTATCGGAACTTAGGCATCAGGATTCTATTTAATTGCATGTTTAACGCGCGTTACTATTTATAAACTTTCCCCGTCGATAGATTTTCGTTAATAATCCCTAGAAAATCATAATCGTTGTTTGACTCGGAGGTTAAACAGAATCCAGAGAAGGCGTATACTAATACGATAGTCGGACAATAATCCGTGAGTATTGATAAATCTTATTCAAGTCACTAATTGTATAGAGGTTTAGCGATAGTAGGAACGAGCCTAAGAGTTTCGCGGGAAGACGACTAAATCCCAAGGAATTAAGGGGATATAAACGAGGTTACGTTCATAATGGATTACTATGGGATTGGGGAATTGGGATTGGGAAAAGGGAAATCCGTCTAGCATCAAAGCTGGGATATAACTGAGGTAGAACTGTATCTTTTTGCACCGGACCATAGACCGAATGACGGCTGCATAAGAGTCCAAGAGATTTACATCATAAATCGCGATTAGTCGTGAGATATTTGAGCCAAGTATTTGAATGCTAACAAGCAAAAAGAAATTAATGAAGTTTTGCGTCATTGTTTTGGCTTCGTGGCATAAATAGTTCCAAAGTATAGGAGGTAACAAAAAAAGAACAAATTTGCTATTATACAAGTGTCTCTTTCATTCAACGCGTTAAGAATGGTATCCTATTAATTAATATTATGTTGATATCTCAATATAACACACTCAACCATCGCGCGATGAACGCCAATATAATATGTACACCTGGCACTTATCCGGTGCCTTTTTATTAACCTCACACGGAAGCTTATTTTCAAATGTTATAATTCAAATAATACTACTAATACTACTATACATTATCATCGTAAGAAATCCAAAGGATTATATCTGCGTGAATTCCTCGAAGGTGCTGTGGGTAAAGGATATAAAAGTTAAACGTGTGAATATATTTTTGCTTATTCTTATAAGTCACAAATGCGCACAGCTTCAAAATACGTTTTTGATTATTATGCCATACCTTCTTCGTCTAAATTTGATTCATTCACTCCATCACCAGACGTCGTTCTTTGAGGCCTCACATTCCCCCTTACTACTGATTCATTCACTCCATCACCAGATGTCGCCCTTTGAGGCCTCACATTCCCCCTTACTACTGATTCATTCGCTTCATCGTCATGTATATATGTCATTGTGTAAGGCCTCACATTCCCCCTTACTACTGATTCATTCGCTTCATCGTCATGTATATATGTCATTGTGTAAGGCCTCACATTCCCCCTCACTACTGATTCATTCGCTTCATTGTTATGTATATTATATGCCATTGAGTGAGGTCTCATATTCCTCCCTGATACTGATCTATTCACTTCATCGCCAGATGTCATTGTTTGAGGCCTCATATCTTCCCATCCTACTGATCTATGTATATATATCATCTCTTGAGAATCTGCTGATTCGTTCACTGCATCACCATGTATAGATGGCACTGTTTGTGGTGTTGGTTCCCTTACTACTGAACTACTCGTTGGCATTGCCATAGGTGTCATCGTTCGAGGCGTCCGATATCTCGCTACTATTGATTCATTCACTGGACCACTAACAGGTAAAGGTGGCATCGGTTGAGGCGTCACATCTTCTTCTACTCTTATAGCGATTGTCTCAGGAGCTGGAGCCTTATAGCGACGACTATTCTTCCTACTACGTACGCTGGTTGCGCGACCGAGACGCTTAATCTTTGACTTGACTTTCAGTCGTTCTTTGAGTTGTTTATTCCACAGTTTGAAATAGACACCATTTTCTCTTTGCATAAGTTCGTCATGCGATCCTCGCTCTACTATCTCTCCGGCCTTCACCACAAGAATCTGATCAGCATGTACGATTGTCGAGAGTCGATGTGCTAAAAATCGAGATTGTAATTAAATTAGGAATATAGGTTGTAATATACAAATAAAATGCCACATTCAAAACATATATATCCGTGCATATGTATTCGCTTTCCCTTACCGATTATTAGTGTAGTTCTATTGACAGTCATCTGCTGTAGTGACTTCTGTATGTGTCTTTCTGTACTGGTATCGAGTGCCGATGTCGCTTCGTCGAGTAACACAATTTGAGGATTCTAGTGTAGAAGCACACAAACATTGATTATTATACAAGTTAAACTCGGTGTTTCATTTGATTCTTGTATAGATAATTACCTTTAACACTGTCCTAGCGATCGCCTAAAATAAAACACTCCTTATTAGCCTTGTATAGAAATAACACATGCTCCTATTCTTATAATCCAAAGCCTTACTCACCACACGCTGCTTCTCTCCTCCGCTCAGTCTTAACCCTCTCTCCCCTACTTTAGTATCGTAACCATCAGGGAATCCAAGAATCTTTTCGTGAATTTTAGCAGCAACAGCAGCAGCCGCCACTTCTTCGTCAGTTCCATCGATCCTACTATATCTTATATTATATTTAATAGTATTGTTGAACAAAACAGTATCCTAAAGAGGGAGTATGAGAAGGTAAATAGCAACAGTAGAGGAGTGAGTATATAATATAATATGGCAACTGCCCACTACCAGCATATAACACGATAAAATTACCTGAGGTACAACTCCAATTTGACCTCTCAGCTCTTGTTGTTTAACCTCTTTCACATCAATTCCATCTATCAGGATACAACCCTCTTGGATATCATAAAAGCGTAATAGTAGACGCAAGAGAGTTGACTACATCGAGAAAAAAAAAAAGACATGTAAATTGACTAGAATCAAATGACGTGCCTTGCACCAGAACATGATACCAGACAGTCTGTATGCACTCCAGTGCGTACTAATCACTCTGTAAGATGAGTTCTTATTGCTTACCTTGCCTCCTCCTGATGGTCCAACGATAGCAACGGTTTGTCCGCTTGGTACTCTAAACGACACATTTTTCAAGATCGGGTTTCTCTCATCATATGCAAAAGTAACATTTCGGAACTCTATTTCTCCCTTCTCCACATTCAACGGCGTAGGTTTAATCGGGTCCTTAACTTCCACCGGTTCATGCATTAAATCCAACATCTTTTCCATATCCACGAGATTTTTTTGAATCGATTTGTAGTAGGAGCCAAAATCGTTCAAGGGTTGGTATAGTTGGAGAATGTATGCAAGATACAATACAAAGTCACCGACGGTTTTCTGTCCTTGAGTAACTTGATAAGCACAAAGCAGGCCACCCACAAGAAGACCAGCTTGGATAATGACGTTTTGCACCAGAGTGAGGATATATATGGTTGCATTGGATATCTTGTCTGCATCCTGGTAGTCGTCGACTGCTTTTTGATATTCCTTGCCTAAAGATTAAAAATAGGAATGTGGCGATTAGTATGTATGGCAGGCGTATTGAAACGCACAGATCACTTGACAAGCTTTTATAATCGTTATTACTTACTCTCAAAGTCTTCCGCGGCATAATACTTAACGGTTTCATAATTTAAGAGCGTGTCGACTATTGCAAATGAGACGTTACTATGTATGGTTTTAACGAAAACCATCTTGTACTACCAACACACAAATCAACTAACCAGCCTTGGCTTCCATAAGATTTTCTAATACATTTGCCTTTCTTCGATACCCTGTCCTCCAGTCAGTCAGAATTATGGTAGCAGCTATGTATAGAGACATGGTAACAAATACAATTATGCCGAATAATTTATCAAAGGCAACCGTGAAATAGGCAACAGCGATTCCAATATCAACCAAAGTTGGAACGACTTGGAAAAGAACTGAAGATAGAATGGCCACGATCGACATTACACCGCGCTCTAATTGAAAAATGGTAACGCGTTAGTAAATGACGGATCAGGTCAGACAGCATAGTAAATAAAAAGCCACTTACTTTGTGCACGAAGAATTTCGCCGGTCTTACGATTAATATGGAATCTAAGCGAAAGCTCTAAGAGATGGTCAAACATGTCTACGGAAACTTTACGGGTAGTAAACTTGAAGAACATGAAACAATACGATTAAAAGGTTTGTATAGTTGAAGAAACACATCGCTGATGTAGTTGAAGAAACATTTACCTGCGCAATATCAATCCACAGATATGTCTGTATATTACTAAGTAACCCGACATTCCCTTGTAAAAATCTCAAACCGACGTATATCAAAATGTCTATCATAATAAGTTTCCAGTTATAATTTAATATTCCGTCAACATCAGCCGACACTGTTAAGTTATTTATCAGCCTTTTATTCCATATGGGCAAGAACACGTTGACTACTCTCCCCAACACAAGACATAATAAACAAATTAATATTATGAATTGTAATCTAAAATTTTTTGTTGGCCATAGAAATGGGATTAGGCGTCTAGTCTTTATAAAAAAGTTCGTAAAGCAGTTTCTCTTTTTTGCCATGTTGTCGAGCAATTTTCTTGTAAGGAGTTTAACGAAGCACCGCTATTTATAGAGGAATTTTACACAGACGGATAACAATGAAGATTTTACATACGCATGATATTATTATTGATCAAGCGTAATAGGAGAAGATCGCCAGGTAGGATTACAGCTGTTATGTACAATAGGGGTTCAATGCTAAATTATATTGACGCCAAATGGTTACAGTTCAAAACTGTGCATAGTGTAATGAGCTTTTATCATTGTTGTGTAATCATCCGTTTTGGTTTTTTGTTAACGCCTTATGCCTTTTCTGTTAGTGATCTCCAGAAAATTTTTTTTCAAGCATTTACAGAGTTCTAAATTTAGATCGATAATAGAGACATTGGGATATATCAATCTATTAATATCTTTAAGTTAACGTAGCGTCAACAAACTGTTACCGTAGTGCAAACCCACGTTATGTTACTTGTAGATTTTCTGCTCGTAATTTGCTATAATAATAAGCGCAGATTAATTTGTCGGTTACGGCTGTACTATACATACGACCAGTAAGTAATAATAATATAGGATTATACGGACGTTTATTATAAGAGCGGGTAATTTTCTGCTTCTAACTATAAACGGGATGTTGCAATTATGCGCCACAGAGTCTTTGTTGCCGATCAGTCCGTTCTAATTAGGGGAGCCTATGCTAATTATGGACACAGAGCACAGCTGATCTTTGGGCTAGTTCTATTTTTAGATCTTGCCCTTTATCGCTATTATTATTATCTTGCCCAAAATCGCCGTCGTCGATGTATACCATATGAAGTTATCTGTCAATGAGCAAACAAACCTAAACAAACGATAAATAAAAAATAACCCTGCCTTGCCCATTTTTTGAGCTAGACCCGTCATTAGTAAAATGCGGCCGAGCTGCATTCGTTTTGGACAGGGACTCACTTTATTAATTAGCCATATTAATCTATCAACGAACGTATATTGTCGTACACAATATAGCATGTGATGTACTTTTAATTCGTAGAATACATCCAAGATGATTTTTAAACGGCCGATTGCCAGGTATTGTGAGATATAGGGGTTTGTGATATGTATCGTGAGGTACTGTGAGGTGTCACAAGTAAGGGGCATTCGAAATTATCTATTAGTGATGTTAAACTTACTATATTAATTCAGTACACTTATTAACCAAATCTGAGATATCTAACAGTTCCCTCCAATCCTTCCATTGCCCGTTCGAACAATTCTCACCAACTTTTAAATATAAGGTTTAAGGAAAACCTTCAGGTAGCGTTTGTTGAAAGGAGACGAATCGATCAGATCAGACCCAACCATCAGGCCGGTCAGTTACACGGCATTTACCATTTATTCCGCACAGTAAAGGTTGAAACTATTAATAAGAATCTCGTCATGATAGTACCTCCCCATACTTTCAATTATCTTATGCTAGTACGAGTGGTTTATATCCATCTTTCATAATGAATTGTATGTAATATGTCATTTAGACAGGAACGGAGTGCAGAATCGTGCATATTTCTGGTCAACGCTTTTATAGTGAATCCGTTACTAACTTCCATGGGCGCACCGTTGATATGAACACTATGTCTATTTTACTACGTTGGGGCCTAACGCCATGTTGCTTTTTATCGTTGAACAAATTTTGTAATCTGCTACTGCAGCACGGCCCAAACAGAAGAGCCGATCCCTCCCCAAAGCAATTATTTTCCTGTTAGCTACAGTATCGCAACAACCTAGCAATAAATAACAGATGTTTATCGTTCTACTGATAATCGGCGTTTTCGAAGATTATAGTCAATGACTTTCGGGCACTTTTTTTCCGACAATTTATGCCGCTATATTGATATTCCGAATGTTGATGTATGCCGTACTACCTTACGAATGTCGGGGGGAAAGTGTCCGAATTTTTGAATAAGCCAAAGTCTTACAACATTGAATTTCGGTTTCAGGTTATCTCTACCGCTTCTGGGATGCCGTTCTGTCTGGTACTGTATCTATACGATGTCGAATTATAGTTGCCTGCCCTAATTGCGTCGAATTATAAATGCTAAGTTATTGATTTTAACAAGCTGTTGAATACCGTGTCAAATTTCATGGGCTGTATCCGTTTGGGTTTGCTGTGCCAGTCGAAAAAAAAGTTTGCAGTCCACCAAAACAATATGACAGTGTCTTATCAGAGGATATCATGATTTCTTTGGCCGGAAAGTACATTCATATAGAGCTGTATTTTTAAGTTTTTACGATTAGATGGATAGCTATTGTGTATGTGAAAGAAGTACAGAAGTATCTGCATTAGCGATCTTGTCACACATGATGCTATTTAAAGTATGGTTCACCAAAATGGTTCTAGAATTCTATACAATACTTTCGATGTGAAATGTGTAATTTATCTATCCGTATAACGCACAAAAGACGCAATTTCTATTGTCAATGGAATCCAATTAACAATCCCTGTTATATGTCTGTCCTCTCAATAGTAAGTCCCTCATTATCATATATGGAGTTTGCAATACGTAATTACATTATGTAACCATGCGAATTTTAATGCTCGTATTCGAGTCATACGTAATAAATGGTAAATTCAATACTTGATGACAAACCTATTACTATGGTAAATTAAATACTCGATTGATGAAAAATATGGTTACTTACGACTTGATTTGATAATGTTCATTGTCATCTCATCGAAATGGCAAGCCAAAAAACAGTTAGTATTTATTGTTAATAGCGTATTCAGCGTTTATAACTGAAAACCATTGCATATAAATTCCTTCCCAAACGTGTATAAAGATCTCTATTGTCTTTATCTTTCCAACACAGTCCTATTGCACTATACATATATGATTACAAATACAATGTCTAACTATTCTTCTTCATCGCGTTGTCTTTATCGGCAGTTTTAGCCGTATCATCTCTTTCCAACAACACCTTTGCGCCTTTGATCTTTTCTCCAAATGCCAAAACTATTCCTGATCAGTATATTGTCGTATTTAAAAATAATGTTACCGAGGATATCATCACGAAAACACTAATAGTAAACGAGGTTTTATGAATGATCTGATTTCTGGTATTAAGCTTACTTACACATGAATGGCTTTCGCGGATACGCTGGTAGATTCCAGAGCGATGACGTATGTATGCTGCATACGTGTGCAGAGAGTTTTGTGGCAAAGGATAAACAAACAAGTCCTGCATAATCTATTTTAATCACCAATCAATATATCAGATTATCATGTTAAATTCCACATGTGATTTCTTCAAACTATTTCCAGGTTGCATATGTCGAGAGAGACCTCCAAGTCCATACGACGGTAACAATGCAACATGGGGTCTGGCTCTCGTATCTCTCATGCACGATTGAATATGACTACTTCCATACAATATGTGTACGAACCAACTACCAAGCGTATGTAATCGACACTGGCATCAACATCAACCATACTGACTTTGGTGGTCGCGCTAAATGGGGAGTTACCATCCCAGTTGGTACACCCAACACAGACGACAACAGACACGAAACTCATGTTGCTGGTACAATTACGGGATCCAAGTACGGTGTTTCCAAGAGTGCTAAAGTCGTTGCTGTTAAGGTTTTGTCCATCCGGTTCTATTAGCGATATAATCAATGGTCTGTGAGAGAGGCCAGTCGAGCAGGAAAAGTATACAAGGGTTCAGTCATCAATACAAGTTTACTGTTACTAATTTGGTAAGTATTGTAAAGATTTTGTGCTACACATCACACGATATTCAAACTAATTCTTTTATTAGGGCCGTAATCATAGCTGCAGGTAATAGCATGACCGATGCTTGCAACGGATTACCTTCACGAGCAGCAAAAGCGATTGCTGTTGGCGCTACAACCATCGAGGATACGTGCTCTTGGTTCTCCAACTTTGGCTGTTGCGTCACTATCTGGGCTCCAGTAAGTAAAGAAATATTTAACATTCGAGAGATATTCAACAAAAGCGATTTAGAATTATTCTTTATTTGTTTGGGAGATTAATTTGTTGATAGGAGATTTAACTAGTACCAAAATTGTATTGCTTTAAGTTTGACCGTGTTCAAATATTGCACTGTTTCTACTTTATCCCGTTAATAGTTTGCTTTTCGCATAGTATTCATGATTCTATTTTGATTCTATGTAAATTGAAATAATAAAACAGCGTTTGTATATTACTATTACATGTCGACCGCTTATTATGCGAAATTTGTCTATTCAACGGCTTGAAAATGAATAACTACTATTTCTTTTACGGAAGAGAACTGAATTAGTGAGTAATCGGGCAATCTATTGGGAGTGATAAACTTGCAATCTTGTCACATAAAACAGATATTAAGATAACGAGTTGAGATCACTTTTTATAAATGAAAAGTACTAATAATAAATAACGTACGCATAAAATATTATGTTTACTTATAATAGATACAACTTTAAATAGTTTGGCTTTCTCCTCTACTATTACTGAAATGATCATTGCGCAACAACTACTGGACCAATCAATATATCAATATATAATCAATAGTAGATTTGTTGATAGGATATTTCCGTTAATAACTAACTCACATCTGCGCACTAATACTAACATTGTCTCTGGATCAAAAAGATCACTTTTGGTATTCATGTTCCTTCGCATGGAGTTCCTGGTGGATTCCATTCCTTCATCATAAATCTTGCTGATTTTGCAGCATTCTCTTTTCGACATTTCTTTTGATGAGATTCCAATAGGGTTAAATTCGGCCGTACGACATTAGGCAGAATTATTTTAGGTCGACCAACTTTTTCAAGTTGTTATAGACAGTCCATATTGAAACTTTGTGTCGCTTTGTGCTGAATGGACTCCTAGTTTCAAAAAAAGTAATACAGCCGCACCTGGCTATTTGCATACCGTATACACGTATTTGCATAATCTACTCATTGCATAATCCCTTATTGGGACCTGTTAGCTATTTGCGTGCATATGCATCAAAAATGATCTAACTCTAATAGGCTTTACATATGTATATTATTTTTCCATCAAAAAAAACTTCGAATGTATGTTGTTTCATGGACTCCAAATAAATTTTTTCATACTATTCTTCACGCTGGTTAGCTTTTTAATTCACGAGAACAGATTTGATACCATTGTTGATTGTTAATGTAACTATTTTCATCATGAATATAAGCAACAAATACGAATAACATTCGAGTGATACAGCATAACATCTATATTAAATATATAAGCACGTGAAAGCGTAAATATGCATATTTTTATAAAAGTTTACTGTCACAACAGATGCAAATAGACAGGTGCGACTGCATAGTTGATTTCAAGCTTGGTGCTCGTCATGTTGTTGAAATTTTGTACGCAATTAATTTGGTTGATTTTGAAAAAGTTATGCGCCTTTGAATTTTTTGCTAATAATTTCTGTAGCCGACTAATTACTGCCAAAATTATTAAAACATCGTCTTTGATACTTAACAACGAACAGATAAAGAATTTATCACACAGTACTTTAGTATCAGAGGATAAAGAACTCGCGCAATCTTCTGTCTTTGCAGTTTAATAGTCAACGCACTTACTTGTAATATATTAATAAATCACAATAGAACAGTTATTTTGTTAATATCACAAACCAATCAGATTCTTCTCTCTTTAACTGCACGCTTTCCTCCATCTGCAGGTTCGTCTGCCCATCAACTCTTGGCATTCATGTACGACAATATGAACAGATTTTTGAGGGTCTGTTGCTAATATTATGGGATATTCAGTAATTAAGGACTTGCGAATGTCTTCTTTGCGTTATAGGATAATAGCTGACAAATAGAAAATTCGATTATACGAGGGTATCACTAAAGTATGAAATCAAATATTAATACGCGTAAAAAAGAAAAAAAAAAATCTTTAGATGAGCATGAAGACTAAAAACTTGCGTGTTTGAGGTAGGTTACCTTTGATGGGAGAAGAAAATCAACAATCAAATAATTTGACGTTTTGACTGTCAAAACCATTACTTGTGCGCTAATAGCAGTTAGCTTTACCAGATTCTCCGAAAGTAAGGGAGGGAGCATAAAGCGATTTTGTATGTGGTTAAAAAGGGGGCTTGTTGGTAGAATGTTGGGGCATTTACAAAACGTAAGTAGACTCGTAAGAATGAGTCGTATAGACATATTGCCAGCAAGCAATCGTATTATCTATTCATATGACTTTTTTACTCTTCTGCTATAACATGATAACGTCATGGCACAGCTTCATAATAATGTTGTCAGTTCTGAGACAGGTCCCCAACTGAAGTACAACAATAATAAACGGTATTTTATCGTTATCATTATATGGATATCACACAATATTAATATCAACATAAGTTGTTCGATATTCCACATTCCAGTTACACCCTTAATTTGCTAAGAGACGTTTTTACCATTGCTATTATCTCTATAGATTTGCTCTGCATGTAGAATACTCGGATGTAGTCCTGTGTGGTGTATTTGTGGGCATAATAAAGAATTATCCGATGGATGGAACTGACTAGCAACTCGATATTTGGATGGATTCCATTTGATTGCGTTGATATTTGGGTATATATGCTACATAACAGTATAAGTATTGAGATTCCTATTGTAAGCGCCAGTAGTGCATTAAAGAGCTTAGAAAATGTACGATGATTTTGTTACAACAAGTGAACAGTAAGACAGTTAAACATGGAAGGAAAAGTAGTCAAATGAGACAATCAACCATAAATCAATATTTTAAAATAAACGTCCAAATTACTATTTTCCCTAAATGCACACTCCCTCTAAATGCACGCCATGGTCTGGTCCCAACGGCGAGCACTTAGAGGGGTTTATCAGTCGGTTTGATACTTTTGGAGTAGTGCATTAATAAAACATAATTTTGTTGTTATTGCTTGATTGAGAGGGTAGTGTATATCCAACTCTGCCATATAAACCAAAAGCTTGAAATAATAATTCAAGCGGTCGAATCCGAGAAAATCAAAGTCAAATCCAAATTTCATAAGCCGCTCAGTGAGCGACGCTACTTGTTAAACATTGAAAGTTTGTGGAAAGATTTAAAACTTCATTCGATACGAAATCAGACTTTTCATTTACCGAAGTGGCCACTCAAATCCACGAGTTACGCGAGGGAAAAGGCGTTGCCGCCTCAACTTTAAAAAACTTCTACCTGCGAAAAACGAACCCTCGAAAAACAACCGTCGAAGCAGTTCAAGAATGGGTCAAAAAGGAAAAGGAGAGAGAAGAGTATAGGGATACTCATCAAGGCTTTGGGTCTGAGTAATTTCGTTTTTTTTTTAAAAGATTAACATTTACAACAATCGATACACATATTTTGTCATATTGAGTGCATGGGAGGAAATCGCAAATTGTCCCAACTTTGATGAAAACAAGGTCTCCATTCATATCATTGTGCTGTCATATAGACTACAAATAACGAGTATAACGCTTGTTGATGGGGATTGTTGTTTTGATCTCAAAATGAAGCTTTACTTTTTACATACGATAGTGCAAATGTGAGTGAATTGGTCCTGATATTATATAATAGTAAAATACAAGCATATAAATTATCAATATACTGCAAATAGCATAATACTGTATGTCAGCGTTAGTATTAGTATGATTGGCAAGGATTTTGGGGTACAGATTATGTCGCGCAGCGCTGTCTTTCAGGCAACTATAGTTCTCTCATGTCTCCAAGAAGAATTAGATATAGCTTATGGTACGCCTTTAAAGACAACAGGGGTGTCTCCCAGCGAATACGTGTTGAAGAACTTTCCGATGATGAACCCAGTGTTTGTGACATTCAAGACGAAATCGTGAGAAAAGAAAAGTTGTCGTGTGCTGTGAGCACGATTATTCTTGAAGTAAAAGCTCCTGAAGGCGATCAATATAATTTGTTAAACGATGCTTTATTTCATGAACATGAAGAAAATTTCATCACGTTAAAAGACTTCTTTGCAATATCAAAAAGCAATCCGATAATAATAAGAGGTAACAACTTTGTGACTCGGGCGTTGGGACATAGAGTAGTGTGTACATAGGGTAGAGTTGACATAGTAATATGAATTCATCAGTGAATGCTCCTTTTTTGTTCATATGCTGTACAATTGATTATTCAACCGTGTTTGGGGACAAAAGCTGCTTTTGTGATATTGACTATGTTGCATCAACGAGTGTTGGCTATCTTTTTTTTTTACTGTATACTTGCTTCCGTTCTTTCTTGAATTATACCTCAAGGGCCAGTGTTAACTTCTGAACTCGAGCCATGCCAGGGTATGATTTCTTTATGGCACAACGCTCTTATATTTTCATTGCTTATTCATTTTAATTTTTTTTTGTTTAGCTTTCAATGTCACTGTGAAGCCCAAAAAGACACCATTTCTGTGGGTCACAAATATAAATGAGTGTTCCATTGACAAGCTTAAGAGAAAGATTACCATAACTTGGACTGACATTGAAGATGTCAATGAGGCCACATTGGCAAAGGACACGAAGGATTTAAGCAATTTTTCATTGCCGAATTCTTTAATGAAGATACCAAGGCAGAAGCTATGGAATTAGCTAGTAAGCGAACTTCAATTTTTGTAGACATGAAAAAAGCCATTATAACAGATGATTTGGATTTGCAGAGAATGTTAAAGGTTATGGTGACAGCTGGAACCCTAAGTTTTAATGTTTCCCTTGAGACATGTATGTATACTCAATAAGGGCATTGTTTCTTTATAAGAGCCCTCTGCTCATCACTATGTTATACTAACATTCTCTTCACATAGTGTCAAAGGCTTTCACTGATTTCAAATTCCAAGAAGTCTGTCACTTGTTTGGCATCTTTGAAGATGAAAATCCCTCTCTAAGTGCATTCCCAGTGTTTAATTGTGGTATGATTTCACTATTACTATTCAAGTCTATCAAACCTTTATGGTCTGAATTCAATATCTTGGGTATTGTACTTTTCAGATACAAGAACAATAGATTGGGATCAAGTAGCCAAACAACACCTAGTGCATCTGATCAATGATTTGAAGGTATACAACATTGTGAATCTTGTGTTTCTAATGTGAAGTTTGACTCACCATTTTGAATTGAATAATAGGCACTAAACGACATGACTGACCTTGACTTGACAAATGAGGCAACCCATTCCCTATACTAATACATCAGGTCCTTTCTTGTTGCTGCAGTTTGTTATTTCAAAGAAGATATCATTCTCAGGCCTCAAAAGAAACTTTGTGGAAGACATGGCCATGGACCTGTAGACTTTGCTCTTGAGTCTCATCACCAGGTGCAACAGTATGTGTTACTGAGATCAAAAGAGACGATCTCAAAAAAGGGATTGCTCAGAATGTGGTCCAGCTTGAAGCATGCTTGGTATGTGTAATGAATGTATGGGAATTTTTTGGGCCATGCTAACTTACTATTGGGAATAGCTTGGTCACAAGCACAAGTGGAATGAAGTGGATGAAGACACTGCTAGCCTTGAAGAAACATATGGGATTGTTACAGATGCTGAGAAGTGGTATTTTCTCCATTGCAAAGTGAGTGACAACAAAGGGGCTGAATTTGGGTTGTCAAAGCCCCCTATCACTGTTGATTGGTTTGGAACTGTGGAGAAATACAGGGCCAATGTAAAAATGGTGTTAGAGCATATCCTTTGGTTATTGTGCAAAATGGAGGAAGCAGAGGCTGACACAGGAATAGGTTGGATAAATGCTCCTAGATAATGATGAGCTGATTGATTTGTGCTTATCGATATTTTCTAGTGCTAGCATTCCTGCATTCCTAGAAAATTAATTTCTTAAATTAGCTCTGTCCTTTTTTTTCAAATCTTGATATTCATACCTTTCATATATCATAGTGTGTTGGAGGAAAAATAGCAGCTTGATAATATGTGTGATGATTTTTTTTTTGCCTTGATTTGCTCTGTGTTTTCAATAATATAATAAATGATATATAATGAGATAAATAAATGATGTTAGTATTAGTATATGCTATAACCACAAAATTGGAGCCTTAATGCCTAGATTTGGTATCAACACATACAGTCAAACCTCGGAAAACCGATACCGCTAAAAACCGATATCTCGCAAAACTGATACTTTTTTCAATTCATATATGATAAATCCCTCATAAAACGCAAACCCGGTAAACCGATATTTTTTTTGGCGATAGTCATAATAGATTGAGCCTCGATAAACCGTGACCTGATTCTTGCAATTTCATTAGTCAACCAATGAAATCGCAAAAATTTACATACAGTGTGTAACAAAAAAAACCGGATATTTTTTTATACGACGTAAACGCGTCTTACGCGTTTGTTTCTTGTCCGATTTGGGAGATTTAAAATGGAAAATAAACACGATAATCAGGG